TTTTTACAATAAAATCTAGGGAGGACTCCGATTTTGACAACAAATGCACACCAAGACCAATACAGACACACCCACATTTAATATCTATGCACACACAGACATTAAATATTCAGATATATCTGTAAACTTCAATAACTTCAGTGTACATTTGTTGTCAAAATCTCGGGATCCCTACCTTCCTCATTTTTTAAAAAAAATTATTTGCTTACTCGAATTCATTGCTAACGAAGAGATTAATTGCATTCAAAGTGGCGTACACTACTACAAGTCTACAATCCTTTCGTTTTAAATAAAGCACGGAACTCAAAGGCTATTAAATTTGTGGGTGTTGATCGTTGAGATGTACTCCGTAGAAAGTTGTTGTAGGAAAACTAGGAATCAATAATTTTTGCTAGGTAAATAGGCAACTTTACAAAAGATCATGGTAAATAGGTAAATTTATAAAATATTCTAAAATTCATGATCAAATAAGATTGTTCATTTTATCGACTTTGGTGCATTAATATCATAGAAAAAATGAGCTTCTAACACACAAAAAATCACTTGCTAGCTTATGAAAAGTTTCAGAAAGTCTGCATTTCCCGTGTGTACTTAAATACCACGGAAGGCAAGTCCAGTAAATAATGTTTCTTTGGTACTCGCCTACTCGACATTACTCCTTTTGTCATATATGATGTTCGACTAAAATTATCTTTCATTTATTTTATATGAAAATCGATATGAAATCTAAAAATAAAATTTATATATTTTAGAACTATATCTAAAATCAAATAAAACAAGAGATGATATAACCATATTATTTTATCAAATAAGCTAGCATTCTCTAAAAGTAGTTAAATTTTGGCAGTATTAATAGTGAATAAATAAATTAAATTGAGACCATGTGCTTATTATATTTTCTCAAAGTTCAAGCCTCTTATTTAATTAGAAAATTACAGTTGTGCTTCTGCCATTTGATTACATAGGGGGTGTTTGTTTTTTGGCCAGAAGAGTTTCTGGCCTCTTTTGTCTGCGCCGCGCAGACGCGCGCAGATGTTGAGCTCTGCAGATTGTTTGTTTTTTGGAAGACATTTCATTCAAAAAGGTCTTCCTGGCATCTTCTTGGAGAAGACATTAACCTATATCTTCTAACATTAACCTATGTCTTCTAACATCTTCTAACTCAAAAAGTTTTTCACGATGGATGGACTATTTTTATAATTTCTTTTACCAATTTATGATTATTGAATTTAAAATAAATTTAGCCTTAAATAATAAACCAAAAAAATATGAAAAATATTTTTTAAGGAAAATTTCTTAAATAAAACTAAAGAAGTATAAAATACTCCTTACATCTCGGATTAGAGAGTGTTTGAGATTGCGGTAGATTAGTGAAATATATATGTGTGTGTGTGTATATATATATATATGTTAAAGTGGAAAGTAAATAATTTTAGTTTTGATTAAAGGCACTTTTTAATTAATTAGTTTTGTCAGATAAGAAAATGAGACTTTAATTTTAGGATGTTGGATTTAGAAATATATATGACTTTAGCTTGGGGATGGAGAAAACATTAAAATGAGCATCTCCAATCATGTCATTTTGACTTGCTAAAAGTTATAATATAGCAAACCACCCCCTTTTTCTTTTCTCCAAGGGGTGTGCTATATTTTAATATGCTTGTCAAAAATTAAGTTTGGCTTGCTAAATATACCAAGCCAATCAAATTATAGCAAGCCCATCCTCCACTTTGAAATTAAGCATCTCCGTTGAAGTTTGCACCATAGAACATCTACGTTCCTCCTTTAATCTTTGTCCTCTTAAACTTAAAATATAGCAAGTTATGATTGGGGAATAAGACAAAAAATAATTTTCTATATTACTATTCACTTGTTAAAATACAACAATAGAAAGCTAATATGACAAATATGGTTGGAGATGCTCTAATGGCATCCCATTTTGACTCTTTTGTCCAATTAAATCTCTTCGTTCCCACAATTTCTCGCCATTTTCACCCGGAATCTTCTCTCGCTAGCTATGGACATTGCTCTGACGTCTACCTTTCACCCAGATCTACAATGGTGTTGTAAACTGCCATGACAATGCAATTGCGGTATGTCTATATGTCACACTATCGTCTATCGCTTTCACACGACTAGAGAGTCACAAGTTCAAGTTGAACCAGAGGCGTTGACATTTAATATTTTACCCCTCATATCAAATAGGAAAATGTCTTTAGGCTTCGTTTGACATCAGTATCAGAGATAAGCGTTTTGAAAAAGCTATCTCTGTGTACCTTTCTTGACATTAATTACTACTCCATATTTGTTTTTCCTGCATGTTATTTGCTTTCTTTCTGTTCGATCTGAGTTCTTTAATTTCAGAAACAGTCTATACTATTGAGTAAGATTAAGGTATGCGTAATAGCCCTCATAGACTTTGTTTTTATAGGATCCTTGTTGACTTGTTCATCCCACATCGGCTATGCAGCCTTATATTGTGCTGCTATTTAATAGCTTGGGTACCTCAACCTCTTGAGTTAACTTTTGGGGTTGAATTGGGCCCAAGTCTATTGTTTCAACATGGTATTAGAGCTAAGCCATTGATGTTGGGACCGCGCCCGCAGTAATCTGCGCCTCGTGTGAAGGGGGCGTGTTGACTTGTTCATCCCACATCGGCTATGTAGCTTTATATTGTGCTGCTATTTAATAGCTTGGGTATCTCAACCTCTTGAGTTAACTTTTGGGATTGAATTGAGCCCAAGTCTATTGTTTCAACAATCCTACATACTCACTCGCGGAACTACCTTGCTCCGACTCGGGGCACCCCACCCCCTGGTCATTTTTTTTAATTATAGGGTGTAAAAATAAAAAAAGTCTTGTAATTCCAAAAGCATGCCTCTAGTAAAAAAAGTTTTGCCCTAGTTAAATATACTTCGTACTACATAATTTATTCAATATTTTATTTTACTATTTTGTAATTTTTTATTTTATTTATTTAAATTTTTTTTATATAAAATTTAAATTTTTTTCATCATAATTTAAAAGCACTTTAAAAATTCCAGGGCGCTGCCCCCGAACCTACGCTTTACTATACTACCCCATTCATTTTTTTTCGTATTTTAATTTTTTCGTTTCGTTTTTCCATATTTTTATTTTGAGTTTTCTTTTTGAACTTTCCAAAAAATTATTCTATGTAAGAAAAGGTGAAAATGTTTAATTTGAGATAGATGTAATGTATGTTAATTTTTTTTATTTGTTCAAACACAAAGAATTTTAAAAAATTTTAAAACATTATAAAAATTGAAAAGAAATTTTTAAAAAAATCTAGGAAAAGGAAAAAGAAGAAAAAATAGAAATAATAAACGAAAAATAAGAAATGAGCACGAGTGCTCCCTATGGTTTAGAAAATATGCGCCAGTGCCCCCTCTTCGCCGGAAAATGATCAGAGGGGGTGTAGGTGCAACGTTTTGAAACCACATGGACTTTAGAAATAAGTTTTGAAAACAGATGGGGTATTGGTGCCAATTTTCCACACCACAGCAGGCACCGGAGCTATTAAGCCTAAATATTAGAGTACCAAATTGTACGTTCCAAAAACAATAGGACGCTGCATTACTTTAAATTGATGTTAAATTTGATGTATTTGTGTGTTTTCGATGCTTATTTGATAAGACATACTCCATCCGTCCCATAAAACTTTTCTCCTTTCTTTTTTCATCCGTCCCATAAAACACTTCTCATTTATATTAAAAAGTCACTTTTATTCTTACTTTTTCATACCCTATCTATCACATCATACCTTTTTACTAATAATCTACCCATCAAATCATACTTGTACTCATCACATCAAAAGACATTTTTGGAAATTCAATACCAAAATACACTTTTTAAATCTCTTCAAAAAGCAAAACATCTCATGTTTAATGGAACGGAGGGAGTAGTATTTTATTATTCTTGTTTTGTAGAACCTTTGACATACTCCCTCCGTCCTAAAACTTTCTTTCCGTTGCGCAAAACGAAGAAAAATCTCAAATTTTTTCAATCTATTTTATTTAAATATTGGTATAGAAATAAAAAATAAAACATACATATTTAAAAAGTACATCAAAATTTCAACAAAACAAGTGGTGACAAGAATATTTTATTTTATCATATAGGCCATGAAAAAAACAAATAAATATAGCTTCCCGTGAAGTTGGAATAGTGCTCTGGGAAGAAAGTTTTAGGACGGAGGGAGTACTTTTTAAATGTATACATTTATTTATTATTTTTATATCATTCTTATAAAAAATAAATTTAAAAAAACATGAAATTTTGTTTTATTTTACATAAATTACTGAGTATTTTGGAAAGGAAGGAGCAATAAAATTAAAGGTATTAGTAAAAATAGGTTGGAGCAATTTACTCCTTTAGATCCGTCCCAAAATGATTGTCACAGTTTATCATTTTTGGTCATTAAGTGTCACCTTTTGACTATGAATTAAGTATAAAGTACAATAATTAAATATTATAAAAATACAATACTCCATCCGTCCCACAAAACATTACCAATTTTGAATAGTATTTGGTCAAACAGTTACACGATTTGACTACAAATTGTGAGAAAAATATATTGAATTATACTCCGTAATATAAATTTAATATAATTGGATTCATTTTAGAATCTAGTTTTGATATATCAAATTTTTATAACATTTCTTTATTTATATTATATTTAACTAATGGTGAAAATGCATAACAATTTAATCAAAAATATATTAAAATGGATAATGTTTTGTGGGACGGAAGAAGTATTTTAAAGTTAGAGGGAGTAATTTGAAGGCAAATAGGGAAGCGGTAAGCTCGCAGTCCAAGTTCATGGGAGTCAGGTGTTAAAAGACAAAAGAGGACACGCGTCCCCTTTTCCGCTTTTTCCCCAAACCTTCACGAAACTCTCTCCGACGCCTTCGGGAATGCCCACCCTGCCGTATTTTATACGCACGCCTCTTCTACTATACGAATACGTATATTCCTACGGCGCGCCACGCCTTCTTAACGGCTCCGCTTCCTCCAACACTACATTCACCCGATTCACTCGCTCTCTCTCTCTCCCTGACTCCCTCGCCGGCCGCCGGAAATTCAAGAACCGCCCCGACCCGTCGAAAATCCGGGTCTTTTCTACGCCGGAGAAAGAACGACGCATGGAGGCGGAGAAGATATGGGGCGCGATGCAGGGGCTGAAGCCGGCGTTCTTGATGGTGGTGGTGCAGGCGGTGTTCGCCGGCGTTAATGTCCTGTACAAAATCGCGGCCTCCGACGGGATGAATCTCAGTGTTCTGGTCTGTTACCGCTTCCTCTTCGCCACCGGCTTCATCGTCCCCGTCGCTTTACTCGCCGAAAGGTCCAATCTTTAAAAGTTTCATACTTTCATGCATTTCATGCAAGATCTCTAATTATACCACTGTGATGATTCTTAATTTTTATATCAAAATATGCAATAAAGTTCGTTTAATTTGATTCGAAAAAGGCAAATTGAATGATTTTATATACAGTTTAATTCTGGGATTCATTTTAATTTTAATTTACAACTGATTTGTGCTGAGTTTTAATTTGTGGGTTATTAATTAATGTGATGATTTTGGATCAGAAACAAGAGGCCAAAGCTAACATGGACAATTGTGTTGCTAGCATTTCTATGTGGTCTGTTTGGGTGAGAGCACTTCTAATTACTACTCTCAAATTCATTTTCTCATCCTCTTTAATTTGGTAACTAAATTACTTTGGGTACCCTTCTCAAAAGATTAGTTCTTGAGTCCTCATTTCTTTTAAAGAAAGTCACAATAATATATATATATATTGATGCAAATTTTGGTATTGTAATTAAATGCATGCAGAGGATCACTAGGGCAGAATCTGTATCTACAGAGTTTGGTATACACTTCAGCAACCTATGCAACTGCCATCTTTAATCTCATCCCTGGGATTACATTCATTGTTGCTGTCACTTTTAGGTAAAAAAAAAATTCTTACTGATAATTACTGTTATAATTACCATCCCCTCATTCAGTAATTAACACTAATCTAATGAATGAATTAGGTTGGAGAGGTTGGGTTGGAAAACAGCATCAGGCAAAGCAAAGGTTTTGGGAACAGTGTTTGGGATTGGTGGGGCCATGCTTTTGACCTTCTACAAAGGACCAGAGCTCAACCTATGGAAGACCAATATTCACCTGCTGCACAGCTCACCACATAACTCTAATGTTCAGAGTAAACCTCTTCTGGGCACTCTTCTGGCCTTGATTGGCTGTGTTTGCTACTCCTGTTGGCTGATTCTCCAGGTAATAGTTATTTTTTTTCTTCGTTCGCCCCGAAATAATTTACGCAATTTTTTTTTTGGTAAATTTTTATGAGTTATGATGATTTCTCTTTCGTCTGAACAGGCAAAGGCCGCGGAGCGTTTCCCATGCCCTTACTCGTTCACGGCTCTAACGATGGTGTTCGGGTCGGTTCAAGCGTTTATATACGCAATATGTAGGGAGAGGGATTTGAGGGAGTGGAAGTTAGGGTGGAATATCAGGCTCCTTGCTGCTGCATATGCTGTAAGTATACATTAATTATCACATATATATGCACTTTATTATTGTGATGTACTCCGTAATATTTTGTGACATGATTTTGTCACATAATAACAATAAAATGTGACATATCACACACATATATATGTTGCAAATGGCAGGGGATTATGGGTTCAGGGCTGATGTTCACGGTGATAGCGTGGGCCGTGCGCATGAAGGGTCCCGTGTACGTCTCGGTTTTCAACCCTTTGATGCTCGTGATGGTCGCGCTTGCTGGCTCGTTGTGTTTGGATGAGAGGCTACATTTGGGAACGTATGTCTATTAATCCATCCCCTAGCTTCAGCGTTTTGAAAAAGATGTTTCCAAACGGGACTTAGGTTTTAGGGTTAGATGTTCCCCAACTAAGACTAAAAACCTCATATATGTATGTACAGATTGCTTGGAGCTGGTTTGATCATAACAGGACTGTACATTGTGCTGTGGGGGAAGGGGAGAGAGATAAAGAGAGTGAGCCAGCTGGTGGCCGCGGCGGGGAGCGAGACGACGGAGGGCAAAGTCGGGCAGGTCGAGATCGATATAACACCCACTCCGTCGTCCCGGAAAGACGGGAGCTGCCACGTCAGCAGCAGGAAGTCCAGCATGGATATGAGGAGAGATAACTGCAGTTTGGAAGGAGGAGGAGGAGGGGAAGAAGAAGGGATTCTTGCAGAGGGAGGAAGGCCTTCTCTCACTGGTTCCGAGGTTCTTGGAGGCTTTTACTTGTACCATTAATTAGCTTTATATATAGGGCATGTTTGGGAATAGTATTGGAGATTAGCGTTGGCGTTTTGGATAAAACTTTAACGGTGCAGATTATTTTGAAAACGTTAACGCTAAATGTTGTCCGTAGACAATCTTTTTAAAATGCTGACGCTAATCTCTAACGCTATTTCCAAACATGCCCATGTCTCTTTCTATCCGTTCATTCGTTCACGTTTAAGTGATCGTTGTGATTTATATGATACATCTAAAATCGAACGAATGTAAATATGATGTGTATGAAGTGATCATATTCTTTCGATTTTTAATGTATCATAGAAATCACAATGGTGAAGTTAAATGTGGATATCACCAAGATGATGGTTCATCAGTTTCTTTCCCGATTGTGTAAATTACTGGTAATTAATTGCATGTATGGTACAACTCGATCCTATTGCATAAGCTTAAGAGATGCAAAACCATAAAACGTGCCCATTGAGCCTTAGTGGTTTACACTCTTAACAAAGACTACCATTGTCCCGTGATTTTTGTTCAGTTTTGATTTTTATCACCAAAGTTCATAAACTTTGACTATTAATTAAATAAAATTAATACTCCTTCCGTTCCACAAAACTCTTCCTCTTTCGTTTTTTTTTGTTTTCCACAAAATACTTCCATTTTCTATTAAAAAACCACTTTTACCCCTACTTTTTTCATACCCTACCTATCAAATCATACTTTTTCACTAATAATCAAACTATCACATCTTACTTTTTCCCATCACATCAGGGGCAAAATTGGAAAGTCAACCAAAATTTCACTTTCCTTATTTTTCCCCAAAATCAAAACCGGAAGGGTTTTGTGGAATGGAGGGAGTATTAGATATGAATACAAAAATAATATTTATTTATTAGATTTATTTTATAAAATTGATATTAGATTTATTTTATAAAATTGATTTTAGATTTATACAAAAATTGATATGGAGTATTAGATTTATTTTATAAAATCTTTTCAAAATACTACTCCCTCCGTCCCAAAAAGATTTTACACGTTTCAAAAAAATTGCGTCCCACAATCTCTTACCCATTTCCATTAAAAAACTACTTTTACCCCTTACTTTTTCAAACCATACCTATCATATCATACCTTTTTCCTAATAATCTACACATCACATCCTACTTTTACCCATCACATCAAGGGTATTTTTGAAAAGTCAACACAAAACTATCACTCCCTTAATTTCAACTTTAGTCAAAATGGGTAACACTTTATGGGACGGAGGGAGTATTTTATTTAATTGATGTATCAGATGATATTTATTTAAAGGCAAAATTCACAAGAACACTCCCAGAAATTATAAATTTTACATAAATACTCCCAAATTTGTTTATTTACATAGTTACTCCCACATTTGTCTATTATTTACGTCGTTACTCCGCAATTGCTCGCTTCATCATCAGTGTTCCTCGGGTGCGTCTTTTTATACGGAGTTCTTCATCTTTTTTTATTAAATTAAATTAAATAGATATGAACAGACTTGATATTAAATATTACTCCCTCTGTCCTAAAATTAACTTCTCACTTTCTTTTTTAGGTTGTCCTAAAATTAACTTCTCATTTCCTTAAATGCCAACTTTTTTTGTATTGAATGACAACAATGCCCCCATAACTTATCCTTTTTTTCCAACAAAGATCTTTATATCTTGTTTCCATCTCCTTATTGTCAAATGAGCTCCAAGAATTGCATGTTCATAGTACTCCTTCAGATTCGTTTTCATGGGCAACAACTCTAGCAATGAACAAGGTTTTGCACAAGGGCAATTTCATAATCTATTTCTTTTTTCTTTTGATTTAGAACTCAACTTTTTCTTCGATCTTGATTTCCTTCTTTATTTCAATTTCGTTTTCCTTTTATTTTTCGATTTTGATTTCTCACGGTTGAAACCGGTATCGACATCGCAAAAGCAAGCCTCGATGAGCAAATTGGATCTATAATTATGACTCTACATCAGATCTGTGAAGGAGATTCAGATTTTTTTTAGAAATGGCCACGGAGCAGCAATGGTTGAGGTGAAGCTTTTGATAAAATCCAGTTGATGGTGATGTTAATGGTGGAGGAGAAGGATGGAGATGGAGGTAGCACGGTAGATCTGGAGGATAATTATTTTTTTCCCTTTATTTTTAAACGGAGTAGAACGAAAGTGCAAAAGGCAGGGGCATATATGGAAAGTGTGAGTAAATTTTACACTTCCTTAAAAATGAGTACCGGTCAAACTGGGAAATTAAATATAGGACGAAGGAAGTAGAAAGAGTTTAAAAGAGTTCTTGTCAATTATGCCTTATTTAAAAGAGTTTAAATATAAACGTCTTGTTGGTCCATTACTCCAGCCTATACGAGCATAGCCCAATGATGGCAAGTGTCTATTCATAACTCTAGTGTCTAAAGTTTAAAACATAAACAAATAAAAAACATAGCCCAGTTTCCATTAAAATAACTTAGCCCAATTTCAGTACTATTTTTACAAAACTTTTGGGCCTAATATAACTTGGGCATTTAGTCTCGCACAATTTATTTTTTTTAAATAAAACAATTTAAAACGGAAATGTTACTTATAAGGGCAATGCTAGGGGTACACCAACATGGGATACTTCATTTGTACACTAGGCTAATACAGACATACTTAGATACAAAATGCTTGTGCAGCACAGATATTTTGTGTCTGTGTTAGCGTGGTGTACAAATGCGGACATGCGGTACTCCATGTTAGTGTAGCCTTAGGTTAATTCTACTTATAATTAACTAATTTCGAATGTCATATTATGACACGGGTTAAATAGAGACCTTTGACAATTCTTTCAAAAATATTCTTGTTTATACCCCATGCCAAAAACTTCTCCATAAACTTCCTCCACCTTGTCAAATGAGATTCTAAATTTAATTGACTTTGAGGTCAAATGTAAATGTAGGGGCTATATTAATTTCATGAGAACATATTTATTCTCCTTATTATATGCACTCCAAGATTATGTTTGATACATAAAGTTCAAATTATGAAATTAAAAATAAAGACAATAATTCTAATTTTGCTATTTGGTAGCACAAAAAATATATGGATTTAGAATTGATACTGTAAAAAATGAATTGAAATTAGAAAATTCTATTTCAACCAAATCAATTTCATAGAATTTCAACTCTAAATCCAATTTTAATTCCGTCAATTACGTGTACTAAATAAGTGCATTTTAATATTTACACGTTCGTCTAATCAGAATTTTGGCCATCCAAATGTTGCATGACAATCTCATAGGACCCGTTTCCTTACACAACTTCATTGAATAGGGCAGGCAGCCGACCATTTCTTTCTCTAATTGAAAGTGATTACATTTCATGTCCTTATTAAGTTGATGAAAGCATCTACAATCACTTTGAAATTCAATCTTATCCATCCATTATATTTTTAATTGCTATATATATTATCAAACATTTATTCTAAACTCTTTACTGAATTATGGACACATTCTCATTGTATATCAAGTTGATTTATCCCTTTATATATTTGAAAAAAATGATGAGCTCCATCCCCGAGGGCCATCTCAGTTCCAATCGGACGGTCACTGAGAGGTAATAAAATTGACTTTGATCACAGAGATCCTATGCTTAGCATAATTGCCTCAGCTTTCAGTGCAGTTACTAAAAATCAAACTCGAGTCTTACTCTTTTGGCACACCATACATTTGCGAACTGCACAACGCCTACTATTTGTTTGACATTTCATAAAAGATCACTTTTAAACTTTGGTTCTTATTGTTAAAAAATAAACTATCCAAAACTCCAACGTTAATTCTAAATGATTTTTCGCTAAAGGACTTTAAATTGTGTTAGAATAATATTTTTTATTTTTACAACAATTTTCACGTAAATTGAGTTGGAAATTACTTTAATTCAGTCAAACATTATAAACTCAAATTTGAACATTTTTATAAAACGAAGGGAGTAATGAAGTTTATCTAGTTTGAATTGATTTTCTAAAGTTTTGTAAATTTAAAAAACTAATGGTAGACGTGTTTTTTTTTGCTTAATTGAAAAGTAGAAGCTTAATATTTAATTTGAGTTTTCCACTTTTCCCATAAAGAAAAGCATAAATTTTATTTGAAAAGAGGGTAATATAACATATACTTCTTTCGTCTATAGAGCAATTTTATATTCCCTCCTTTCCATACAACCATTCCTCTTTCGTTTTTTTCACTTCCTTAAAACACTTCCATTTTATATTAAAAAGTTACTTTATCCCTATTTTTTCATACCCTATATATCACATCATACTTTTTCACTAATAACCAAACTGTTACACCTTACTTTTATCAATCACATCAAGTACAAAATTAGAAAGTCAACTAAATTACATTTTCTTTATTTTGGTCCAAAATCAAAATGTGAAGTATTTTCCATTATCCATTTTTAGATGTCTAAATATAAATTCTACATTTGTATAGTACCCATTTTAAGAATTACATTATGGCCCTTTCTTTCTTATATTTTTTTAAAAAGCTTTTTAGCCACACATTTTCATTGTAAACTATAAACCTTTCACTTTTCAATATTTTTTTTAAAAATTGTAGAGTGGAAGTGTCAATATAAATAGGAGGGAATACTATTTCTATATAATACTCCCTCCGTCCCTAAATAAAATTTCTCTTTCATTTTTTTGGTCCCTATATAAGCTTCTCTTTTTGCTCTTAAAAAACCTCTTTTACCCCTTACTTTTTCATACCCTACCTATCACATCATACCTTTTTACTAATAATCTAATTATCACATCTTACTTTAACACATCACATCAAGGGTATTTTTGGAAAGTCAACACCAAAATATCCCTCCCTTAAATTCTCAAAAAGTTAAAAATGGAACTTTATTTAGGGACGGAGGGAGTAATCCCTAACTACATGAGAGAATCTAACTAACGCCCGCACCATATATAGCTTGATGGAGGGAATTTGATTGAAAAGAATTGAACCTTAATTATTTAATCACTTCATTATATATACATACAATTAACGTACGTACAGGATGAGGCGGCAAAGCTTGAAAGCGGCGGTGCTGATGGTGGCGGTGGAGGCGGTTTTGACGGGTGTGAACGTGATGCTGAAGTTGGCCGCTTCCGATGGGATGAGCCTCAGCGTTCTCGTCTTCTACCGCTTCTTTTTCGCCGCCTTCTTCATCTCTCCCGTCGCCTTCCTCCTCGAAAGGTGGGCTCGCACGCACTTATATAACGTTATTCACGCGTCTTCAACCGGAAGTTTGAGGTTTCAGTGTATGTAGTTGGATTTTTTATATGGTATCAGACCTCTACTTGATTACTTAGAAATCGCGAGTTTAGTTCAAATTTTATTGCCACCCATTTTCAAAAATGTTATTGTTGGTGTACTCCGAGGCTTAAGCAAAATCATTTTTGCAGTTCAAATCACAAATTTGACCTTTTAGCTGATTTTGTCAATGAACCAACTCAACCAAAAGTTCACATCATACCTTTTTTCTAATAATCTACCCATCACATCCTACTTTTACCCATCACATCAAGGGTATTTTTGGAAACTCAATACCAAAATATCCCTCCCTTAATTTCCCAAAAAGTCAAACTGTCCCATTCTTTTTGGGACGGAGAGAGTACTATTTAGGGAATAAAATAATTTAAGTGCTATTTAGAGAAAAGACTTAAGTTTTAGTGCTATTTAGTGCAAATATTTCTATTATTTATTACTATTACTCTCTTCGGCCTAAAACATATTTTTCCCATAGTATTCACATGGTCAAATTTTAATCACTTTAATTTCTTTATCTATTTTCGTTAATTATTTGATAACTTTGTAGAACTTTGGAGTATAAGCTTGTAATCTCTTACTCCCTCCGTTTCTCAAAACGGTTCCTCTTTTGACTTTGAGGAAAAATAAGGAAGTGTTAAATTGTAGTTGACTTTCCAATTTTGCTCTTGATATGATGGGTAAAAGTAAGATGTGATAGTTTAGTTGTTAGTGAAAAAGTATGATGTGATAGATAGGGTATGAAAAGGTAGGGGTAAAAGTGGTTTTTAATAGAAAAGGAAAGTGTTTTAAGAAAAACAAAAAAAAATGAAAGAGGAAGGGTTTTAAGAAACGGAGAGAGTATTTTGTAGAACTTTTGATATAGTTTTTGATTATATAATTTTATTTTTTTAAATTTTTACACCTACAATCAAATTAATTGAATTAAAAATAAAGTCGGTCAAACCTTATAAACAGAAACGGGGAGATCTTTTTAAGACAAGGGTGTACAATTATTTATTAGAAAAAATATTTAGAATAATTCTAACTTTACTCGATTTTTTTAAAAATAATCTTATTTTTCACTGTCGTGCATAATAATCGCAACTTTAATAAAATTTGCGAGTTTTGAGTCACACTTAAGTTGCTAACTGTGGGTTAATGGAAATGACTTGTTTTGCCAAACAAAATGAAAGTTTGGATTATTTTCGATAATTTTTTTTTTTTTTGAAATTTCATTTAAATTTTTAAAATGACTTTCTACATTCGTTTATTTTCTTTTTTTTTAAGATTAGTCTTACCTTAGAAAAAATAAAAACATAGATATAAAATATAAGGAGTGGCAGGTTCTAGCAATTTACGCCCTATATAAAGTACTAATGTGCTACTCCGTATTTCTTAATTTTTTTTTGAAAGAACGGATAAAATTATTGTTGAATATGTTAATATATACATATATGAATGGGAATGAAGGGTGGAAGAGTTGGGGTTGAAGACAGCGGCGGGGAGAGCAAAGGTATTGGGGACCATATTATGCATAGGCGGGGCAATGCTCCTCACTTTTTACCACGGCCCGAAGTTCACCCTATGGAAACCTCCCATTCACCTTCTCCGCCGCCATACCCCTCCTCCGCACGCGGCGGCAGCGGCACAAAGTAGCAATCCATTGTTGGGCTGTGTTCTGGCCGTGCTTGCAGTTCTTTTGTATTCCTTCATGCTCATTCTCCAGGTACCTAGCTATACATTTATCCTTTTGTAAGTGGACACGTACTATGCATTATGGCTTTCTTGATGGATCAGAAATAAATGAACGTAGACACACGCTATGTCTACATTTATTTATTTTTGACCAGTTCAATAACAAAAACTGATCTCTATATATGAAAAGGCAATGGCGAAGAAGGGGTATCCATGCCCATATTCATTCACGGCGCTAATGATAGGGATGGGATCAATTCAGTGTTTGGGCTACGGACTCTATCGGGAGAGGGACCTGAACCAATGGAAGTTGGGTTGGAACGTTAGTTTCCTCGCTGCCACTTTCACTGTATGCATGTCTCCCAAATTAAACCTTCTCCCATTCCATGCATGCATCTTTTACCCTTTTTTTTTTCATTTCAACTAATAAAATATTTAATTATTTGTGACTAATATAATAAATCACTTACTCCTTTCGATTGTCGGGTGGCGGCATTGTCGCTGATCCGCAACAGTGCCCCCGCCGATCGGCAACAACACCGCCAAAACCACACCCTACAGCCTAATTGTTATTAATTACGAGTATCCGATAACGGTTAAAGTGGGAAGTTTTTGATGGGAAAACAGAGGCCGTTCAAATATTTTTGTCTAGCTTGACTTTTTTTATTTGATTTGGAAAGATTTTGAGCATCAATTCCTCTCAAATTGTATTGCATATTACTCCTTCTCTCCTAAAATTAACTTTCCATTTGACTTTTTACGGTCTCCAATGCGGCACTTTGACCATTAATATCTCCATTTTTATATGAATATATATTATAAAAATCATATATTTCAAAATTATGTTTCAAAATAAATTTATTGATAATAAATTTATATGAAAATTCAATATATTTTTTCCGTAATATACAATCAAAGTTTAAAAAATTTGATTGCAAAAGTCAAACTGGAAAGTTAATTTTAGGACGGAGGGAGTACTAAAATGAGATAAAATTTTTGTGTGTTTTTTTTAATTTATTGATTTGATGGGGGCATATGTGTGTGTGTGCAGGGGATATTGGGTGGTGGAGTGGTATATGGAGTGAGTACGTGGTGCGTCCACGCAAGAGGGCCAGTCTACGTGGCAGCATTCACCCCTTTGTGGCTCCTCATGATGGCTCTCGCTGCCTTCCTTTTCTTGGACGAGAATATCTACCTGGGAACGTATGTATATAATGAGCTATTTCTACCCCAAAAAAAGTATACCTTATTTTACCTCCGTTTTGAAAAAGTCATCCGACAACAACTTTTACGTTAACGTTTTCTAAATTAATCTACATCATTAAAATTTTATTCAAAACGCTAGTGCTAATAAAAAATGTTGTTCCCAAACAAAGCCTTTGTATCACAAAAGCATGTACCAACATTTCGTGCTAGTGTAATATTAGTGTGATGGTTTACAGTGACACAAAACGTCAGTGCGAATATTTTAGTTTAACTAGCATTTTGTGTCAGTGTAAACCTTCAATGCGGGTGCATCTCTTACAGATAATTACTTGTAGAAAATTACTTACAGCTGGCGCAGGTTTTGTCGAAATAACTATCAGATCCCTCTATTTTAAAAAAAAACAATATAGGTCCATACATTTTGTTGTAATGACAGGGAGTTGACGTTTCATCCAATACTTCATTCATAAGCGTTAATAAATATGTTTTTTATGTATAACTAGAGGTACTCAGGAAATAAATGTGTTTTTTTCTGTTATTTTGACAAAATCGCGTCAGCCGTGGGTAATTTTCTGTATAACTTAAGGTACATTTCTGGGTGTACCCCAAGCATGGTTGATATACGGACCTCACTTACATACCTTAAATTAAGTTTACATATTTCGATAATATTTTCCAAGAAAATAAGAAATATGGAGTAATAAATAGTTTCACGACATTTTTAATTTCCCTATTTTTTTGAAACCCAAAGATACTTCATTCCATTCCCAACAACCAGCTAACAGAAAACAAACTCTGCACCAATTAAATACAAAATATTTGTCCATTGCTTATACAAATCTTAATTTTTATTTTATCTATGACATTTTATTTATCTGTTACTAATTTATCTATCACATCCAGAATTATTTTGAAAAGTCAAAACAAAAATATTTTTCTTTTAAATTTCATTAAAAATCTAAATGATAAAGAAATTTTGGAATGGATCGAGTGTTATTTTAAATTTAAGTTTTATCTAATCTAATGAGATTAAATTTGCATTACAATTTTCTATTTTTACTCCGGGATTTACTTATAGAGAATAACATTTGAACAAATTGAGTAAAAAATTCAAACTCCACAGATTGCTTGGAGCAGGTTTGATCATTGCAGGATTGTACACAATATTGTGGGGGGAAGATAGAAAAGTCAAAGTTGGTATTGGGCAGAGTAGTCAACAACCCATTGATTCCCATCCTCAAAATACCACCAAAGTATAGTTTTCAAATCAATGTGGAATTTTCACATTTTATATTTGAAAAAATATGCATGGTTGTACTTAAATATATTTAGTTTTCCACATTTTCAAGATCAAGACCAAATGTTGATAGTGGCAATGTAGAAATTTCTTCGAATGTGGTGGTTCCTTGTTCGCAAAAGACACAAGATGATCGCTCTAACAACGGAATGCGATTGTATCATGATTTATCTTCTCACTATCCTATCGAGTCAAGGTGTGGAGACGCCTTCGGTAGGGGTTTCATTTTTATTGAGCGATTGTATGTTTTATCGAATAATTCGTATAACATTGAAGTTACTTATTTCATTCATTAAATTCTGCAATATGTGCGTGCGTATAGATAATACTTTATCTGTCTAAAATTAGCTTCTCACTTGATTTTTAACGGTATCCAATGTAATAGTTTAACCATTATCCTTATTTATATATAAAAATATATCATAAAAATAAAATATGTGAAAACTGTGTTTTAAAATGAATCTCTTAATATTAAATTCATATGAAAGTTTAAAATATTCTTTTCTATAATATGTGATTAAAGATAAATAAAGTTTGGTCACGAAAGTCAAACTAAGAAATTAATTTTAGGACAGAGAAAGTATGAGTTTTTCATATATAGCCTTTGACTCTAAGATATTACTCCCTTCGTCCTATAATGATCTTCCCAGAGCACTATTCCAACTTCACAGGAATTTATATTTATTTGTGTTTTTTCATGGCCTATATGATAAAATAAAATATTCTTGTCACCACTTGTTTTGTTGAACTTTTGATGTAGTTTTTAAATATGTATGTTTTATTTTTTATTTCTATACCAATATTTAAATAAAATAGATTGAAAAAACTTGGGATTTTTCTTCGTTTTGCGAACCGGGAAGATCATTATAGGACGGAGGGAGTATATTAATGGTTCTCGATATTTGAAAACCATTTTAATTAAGCTCATTGTGAACTACTCCCTTCGTCCCATGAAACCTTTCTCCTTTCTTTTTTTATCCGTCCCACAAAACACTTCTTATTTCTATTAAAATGTCACTTTTACCCCTTACTTTTTCATACCCTAACTATCACATCGTACCTTTTTACTAATAATCTATCCATCAAATCATACTTACCCATCACATCAAAGGACATTTTTGGAAATTTAATACCAAAATACACTCTCCTTAAATCCCTCCTAAAAAGCAAAAGTCTCATGTTTAATGGGACGGAAGGAGTATATGTGAAAAACAATATTTGGATTAAAAGAAAAATTATGACAGGATTTTCAAATATGGAGGATTACGAGTATAATATCATAGAATTAAAAACTATATACCGAAAACTTATTATTATTAAGAATAATTTAAGGAATTTGGTCTATATTTATTTGTTTGACCATATGCTACGAAGTAGTGATTTGGTGATTGTAATATACAAATACATAACTATCTAAGGTCCACCACAATCTTATATATGCCATATTTATCACAAAAGTTTTTTCATTGTCAAAAAAATTCTCCCCGCATCCCAAATTGAGATCACACAAAATCGCCCAATTCACTAGAACACCCTGTTTGACCGCATTAGATGCGTAAATAATGCAACATTTTTTTTCTCCAAATTATAGATCGAAAAGAATGCTCAAAACTAAAGTCAAAACTCAAAACATCTATCCGAAACCACACGCTTTGTCCGACTATATATCAATACCCATTTCAGGACAAACCAGCCCACAAAATTCTTTATAATTTGACTTTTATTTTATTATAATTAAATTTTACTCCCTCTGTCCAAAAAAAATTCCGGTTTGACCGAGCACGCACTTTAAGAGAAGCTGAAATTTTCTTTGACATTCCCATATTACTCTTTAGTGGGTTGGCCGTGTATTGTGCAAAAGAAAAAGCAAGAGAAAGTTTTTGATTCGATACATAATCATTACAATGTCAAAAGTTAAAAGTACATTTCAATGATTACAAAACCCTCCATACTCCACATTACACGACATTTTAATTGCCCAAATTAGCCAAAAAAAATCATTTCACTCCACTAAGTGAAAAGTTCCCACCCAAATCTAAAGCTTATAAGTACTTTCCATTTTGAAATTTCTATTTTCAGATTGTTAAGGTCCTTCACTGCAACCTTCTTTCTTTCATTCTCTACTGCCAGCTTCTTTTTTTCCTTCATTGCCAATTTCTTCACTTTGTTTATTCCTGCCATGTGAGAAAATATGTCTCCCGAACTTCTTTCTCTTCCTACCATGTGGGAGAGCTTTTCTTTTTCCTTTTTCTAGTGCTGTCTTCACAGCCATATCAATCTCAGGGATGGAGCCGTCAATAGCAACACAGACACTGCAAACACAATTCGAAAACACACCAGGTAAAAGGAAAAAGGCTATCAAACTTGGAAAGACAATGAATAATCGACAAGTTGCTACTATCATACAAGCAAAAAACAAACATCATGGGCACACAAACGGCCCAGAGGGGTTCTATCAAAAGTTTGTCTGCTGAGTTCAATGTGAGTTCAATGTTAATAGAAGGACAATCACTTTGTTGTGGACAACAACTAAGGCACAACTAGAAACAACAGTTGCATTGATGTAAGAAGTCGAATGGCAGGAAATGTTGGAAGGAAGAGAGCTATAGTGGACTTGGAGTCCATTTCAGAAGTTCCATTGAGGAGGAGAACCACCATAAGAGCACTAGCATCAGCAAAGGTCTCAAAATCCACAATTCACAATTGGGTGAAAAGAGGTATTCTTCGAAGCCATACTAATGCAATTAAGCCCACACTTACTGATGCAAACAAGAGGCAAAGGATGATGTTTTAAGATGGTGTCACAAGTATGCTTTTTTACGCACACAAAGCTTGACATTGGGGCCTTCAAAGGCTCAGCGTGCTCATCCTCTTCCCCTGAATCAGGGACAACCTCCTCCACCTTTGGAATACCTTCTACGAGAGGATGAAGTTGCTCAATCACCAATTGCCCATACGCGGAGAAGGTTTTTTCGTCCTCGACGGCCTTCTCATGGTCGAAGTCATCCACAGTCTCTCCAATTACAAAAACGTAGCGCAGATCTTCAAAATCCATGGAACTTCACCCACCCAATTGTCTCGTTTAAATTCGGTGCTCTGGTTGAGAGCAACTTGATGAAGGTATTAGAGAGGAGGAATAAAGACGAAAGAGAGGAGGAAAACCCTAGATCTAAGAGGTTTGTAGAAGACGATGATGTGAAGGGAGTGGCGTAGAAGTAAATGAAAAAGTAGATAGGTGGGCGGGCAAGGAGTAAATAGAGATAATGACGATGGATGTGAGGGAGGGGTATAATTGACCTTTAGGAATTAATTCTTTTACTAAATTTAGAAATGTGAAGTTTTTTTGTGGACGGATGAAAGAGGGAGTATAATTTTTGACAAAAATTATAATAAAATTAGTTCGTATTTTTTGTTGCAATATAAATTTAACACATTTGATTTTATTTTTAGATTTGTTTTGATATAGGGAGAAAGATTAAAGTATGACTAAAACATTGAAAATATGTCAAAATAAGACTTCCATGTTTTTATTACCGAAATAGGACTTAAAATGCATTTACACTACCAAACATGATCATGTACATTACCAAAAAGTATAATAATGTGCACATGTACAGTGTCACATTACCACAGTGCGAAGTTATATTTCGGAGAAAAAAACTTAAAAGTTCTATTTTAGTACTTTTCTCTATATTTTAGTCCTATTTAGGGTGCTTTATATTTTGATATATCAAACCTTTGGGTATACTTGGAGTATATAAAATTAAATTTTGTATTAATTACAAACTGAGGGTACCCGACAATAAATTTCTAGATAAAGACTATATTTAATATAATTGTCTTCATGTAACAATTATGATGAATAAAAAATCTAAATTAGAAGAGAGAGGTGTGAAGGAGTTGAATTGGACATCCTTTTTTTTCGGGTGCTTTATAAAAATGCTCTAAAAAGGTATCTCTTATAAAAATGTCCAAAAAAGATTTGATATTATGAGACTATCCTCACTTAAAAGCACGAAACATTATCATGTGAGATTCCCAAATTATCCCTATACTTCAAAGAGCTATTGTCAAAAGAATCTGATTACGTTCAACAACCGTTTAATGATTTTCCCTTCTTTTTTTACCCTACCCGAATTTAACTATTTCAGTTGCCCCTTCCAGTTCCTCTATCGCACGCACATTACACATCACTCTGCAAATTGGCAACATTATATTGATGATTGTCATGGTCGAACGACTTGTGCATCCGAATTTTTCAAACACAAACAAAATAAACTTAAAATATTATATTTTAGTGTACATGCAATGCACCTCAATTTCGGAAGCCTCCAGGAACAATTCACCTTCCACAGATGTAGTTCCCTGAGCAGAAATTTGACACCAAGCCCAACTAGTTCAAAATAAAACCAAAATCAGTTAATTTTAAGTGAGGATTATCTGAAAATACCTGGTTTGCATTCTCGATCTCCTCCCTTTGTTTTTGGGTGAGCGTTCTCCTTTTCTTGTACTGGAATCCGCAACTTGCTCCGATATTCTCCATGGCAAACAAATGTGTGGTATTAATTAAAGGTATCTGACGATGATATGCAAAGAGAATGCCGGAATCAGCCAAGGAGAACGAAGAGCAGAACAATTTTGATTGGAGAAGGCGTATTGTTTCTGAAGACTGGTCGGGGGGTTAAGGAGTGGTAGACGCTTCAAACGACGTCGTTTGGCCTTTCCGAAAATCATCTTGATGCTTCGAAGGCAACCTAACGACTGGTCGTTAATTTTAATATTTCTGTTAAATTTTTGAAATAACGGTCATAAACATGTACATTTTTTTGCTTGGTTGGAAGGGTATTTTGCCATTTCCCCCTCATTTCACGCGAGTGGAGTGGACGCGCCTTTCGCAATTCTCTGTTAGATTTAGGAGGACGTTTTCATAAGAGTAAATTCTATAAAAGGTCCCTAGTTATAGATCGTTTTACATATTTAGTCCCCACATATCAAATATTACTAATTTAGTCCCTAATTATTATATTCATTTCCACGAATGGTCCTTAATTAACATTTCCGTTAAGAACGCGGATAAAATTGTAAATTCACACTCATTTCTCTCCTCAATTAAGCTTTTTCCCTCCTCTCACACTCCTTTCCCAAACCCGTCGCTGAGTTTGAAGCTTTGAACCCAAAACTGAAATTATCACTCTTGTCTCAATTGTTTGTCGAATTGGTGGAACCCAAATTCGAAACCAGTAACCTTCATGGATGAGTTTTAATGTTTATTTTCTTTGTAATTTTTTAAGACTAACCGATAAAACTCATCCATAAAATTTATTGCTTTCGATTTTAGGTTCCACCACGAAGACTACTAATTGAGAGAGGAGAGATCATTTCAATTTTGGGTTTAGAGTTTCAAACTCAGCGACAAGTTTGAGAAAGAAGACGAGAGGATGGAGGAAGCTTAATTGAGAAAAGAAATAAGTATGAATATACAATTTTATCCATGTTCTTTTAACAAAGAACCATTTGTGAAAAATGATATAATAATTAGAGACTAAAATAGTAATATTTGATATATAGGAATTAAATATGTAAAACGAAGTGAAGATCTTTTATGTAGAATTTACTCTTCTCATAAATTCCAACCTTTTTATGCCCTTTTCTATAAATTCTTCCTTTTTTTCTTTTTGATTCGCATGATAACTCGTGAGGTTGCCGACGACCTTTCCTCTTTTCCTTCATTTCTTTTTAAATTTATTATTCCACTTCCCATTTTCCATCGTCCACATCTTCATTCTTCATCTCATCTCTCTTTTTTTGTTTCTTTCCATTGATTTTGAGGTTGATCTTCCAAGAGTTCCCCGTTCCACTTTTCCAGATTTCATTTCTGGCGGCTCTGACCCACTTCTTGCTTTTCCTCCCTAACCTGTAAAATCTCTCAACTTTTTCCTCAGATTCACTTCGGCTCTCTCAATCAATCCTCCCCTCCAAGCTTCTTCATATAAGGTACAGATCTGTTTCTTGAACAATACATCTTTTTTTATTTAAAAAAACGAACTTTTGATCTTAGCTATAGCCTTTTTAATTTCAGTCTTTGGTTTCCATCCAGAAGGTGAAAAAGGGAAAAAAATCCTGTCTTTTCCAACTTGGGCGTGTCCTAGGTTAGTGGGATTAGTTTATTTTCAAAAAGTAAGAAGTAGTTATTATTCACTTGTGTGGTTGAAATAGATGTTACCGAATACTTTAACTTCCCAAAAAATCAGTATTAACAGCTATTTTGGCAGTATAGTCCCCTTCCAAACGAGCCCTTAGCTGCAGTGGCAACTTTAGCTTTGTTCATAGCTCTCAAAGATTTGCCTTTTAATTTGATTTTTATACAAACTTCTTTATCATTATTCCCCATATAGTTTTAGTGGGTTAAATCTTTTTGCATTGCAATTGAATGAAGGAATCTTTAAAAGGTATGAAGTGATATGATTTTCTTTATTCAGATCGGATGTCGTTCCGAAGCATAGTTCGCGATGTTAGAGGAAGCTTTGGGAGCTTATCCATGCGCACCTTTGATGTGAGGCTGCCCGTACATAACAGGGGGAGATCCAACAGTTCAGTGGATCACCTGCTGGGCCACCACAACCAGCTCGAGGTGGCCCAAAACAGTTGTTGGGCTAATCTACCCCCAGAGCTTCTTTTTGATGTGATCACTCGTTTGGAGGAGAGCGAGAGCGCGTGGCCCGCCCGCAAGCATGTCGTGGCTTGTGCTGCTGTATGCAGGTCGTGGAGGGGCATTTGCAAGGAAATCGTAAGAGTTCCGGAACTGTGTGGGAAGCTCACTTTCCCCCTTTCACTCAAACAGGTAACATAATTTCTTTTCCTCTTAGAGTATACATAAATCTTTTCTGTGGCTTCTAGCCACAAGCTTGAATGTTTTTCGTTGAGTTGGTTGCCTCTAAATTGCAACACAAAATTACTTGCAAAGTAATGTCGGTTAATTCCTTCGATCCCCTAGCCATTTTTAGGGGTTTTGATTCCATGGGAAGTATTTTCGTCGAGTATTTTGACGTTTGGTAGACTGTTTGGCTGAATCTTAGAAAAAACAAGGCTACCAAATATGCATTATATCAGTGAATTTATTCATTCTCTAGTTATGTAATGTCGAACTGACTATATGCGTAAAGGAGTTTACAAAAATTTGGTGTTTTCATTATCAGCCCGGGCCTAGGGATGGAATGATGCAATGCTTCATCAAGCGCGACAAGACTAATTTGACATACCATCTTTACTTGTGTCTCAGTCCCGGTAAGCAAATTTTTATTCAAGTTTTTTACTTTGTAGTATAAAACAAGTCTAGGTGGTATTTTTACAGGGTCTGTTAGGGTTGTTGCTATCGAAGTAGTAATGTTTCTCTATAGTTTCATTTAAATGTTGGCTCTACATGTAGGTGTAGCATTGCTAGTTGAAAATGGAAAGTTCCTTCTCTCTGCAAAAAGAACACGGAGAACTACGTGCACCGAGTATGTTATCTCTATGGATGCAGAAAGCGTCTCTCGATCCAGCAACACTTATATCGGTAAAGTGAGGTAAGAGTGTCATAGCATTACTAAATACTCCGTAGTATTAATGTGAGTCTATTCCAATAGCTAATTTTGCTCCTATAATATTAAGACCGAGATAGAATATATTTCAACATAATAAAACTTAAACTGATTTTTTAATTAAATTTATAATACATTAAAAAATGAATAAAGACATAAGATATGTCTAAATTAATTTATTTTTAATGCATTATAAAAATATAATAAACAATTAATATTGATTAGAGGAAGTAATTAAAGAGGTAAAAGATGATTAGAGGTGAAATGACAACCATCAAACTAGGGCATAGAAGAGTTGGAAACACATTTTGGTAAGTACCGAGGATCCGACTCATTAAGCATTACAAAAACAACTAGTAAGTGTTAAAGTAGGACCCATTAAAATTGCCGCAAAAAAAGCCATCTAGTTTCATCATGTAGTTTCATCATCGTTCCTTTTCTCTTCCCTTTCAACAATGTGATTAAAAGAAACTAAACTCTCCTCTTTCATTTTCCTCTCCTCTCCTCTCCATCGAAACTAAGTCGGACATCCCATGATACAATTTGATAATAACTTGTCTTATTGAATATTGAGAGATATGGCTCTATATATAGGGAATACAAGAGTAATCAAAGTACAAGTAGGAAAAGAAAGAATAATCCTAGTAGGAAAGGAAAGAAGTATCCTAATTTAATTATACTTCCTAATATCCCCCCGCAAGCTGATCAACGGAGACGAGGGGCAGCTTGGAACATAAGTACTCAAAAGGAACTGGCGGAAGCGGTTTGGTAAGAATGTCTGCTAGCTGCTCTGAGGAGGAAACATGATGTGGAGTCATAGTGCCTGCCATAACCTCATCTCGTACAAAGTGACAGTCTGTGCCCACATGCTTCATGCGATCATGAAGAACCGGATTTTTGGTGACACAGATAGTCGACTCATTGTCACAGTATAACTTCGGTTTGGACGGAGGAATACCCAGTGCATCAGTGATATATCGAAGCCACATAGCTTCTGCAACCCCTGCAGCCATAGCTCGATATTCAGCTTCAGTGGATGATCTAGAAACACGAGTCTGCTTTTTCGTGCACCAAGAGATGATATTAGGACCGAGTAGGAGTATGTAGCCCGTGGTAGACTTGCGATCATCTTTATCATGGGCCCAGTTAGAGTCAGAGT